CAAAAAGCCTCCCATGTTGTCCTTGTAGGCAACATCAAGAGATGTAGGTTGGGTGTAGGAAATGACTGAACAGCCAGAGAAATGAAGTCATTAATAAGCTGATGTTAACATGGAGGGAGCAGAGTGCTCCCGGAGACCTGCTTTTGGTCTCATGCTTGTCAGCATTTTTATCAGTAAATTACACAATGGCAAAGATGGCATGCTTATCAAATTAGCAGGTGATTCAAAGCTCTGTACTCAAAAAGATCTCAACAGGCTAAAACCATGAGCTGCACTGAATAGGATAAAAGAGGGATAAAGTGGAGATCGAACCTGGGCACCAGTGCAGGTTGGGGGAGACACGCTTAAATGGGGCAGACCAGCAACGGGGCTGTTGGCAGACTGAAATGAGATATGCTTCACAAAATTTCAAGTACTTTTTAAAGTGCCACTTACTACTCTTGCCCTAAGCTTCTAAGGTCTACAATGACCCTCGGGTGGCAGAGCACCCTGCTCCTGCAGGCCCTAAAACAGAACCACACCCCAAGGTAAATTTGGCTTTGTCATTCTCTCCTAACAAGGTACATCTGTCCATACTGCAATTCCGAGTTCACTCTAGGTCAGTCAGTGCTACCAGTCAATGGCAACCACAATTTCCTCTTATGAGAAAATCATAGGATTTAGAGATGAAAGAGACCTTAGAGACCACCTCGCCCAACCCCTCATTCTCTAGGAAACTGAGTCCCAGAGAAATGACTTCCCTGGGTCCACAGAGGCTTACTCAAAAATGAGCACACATTAATTTGGTTAACGTCCCCAGGAAACCATTACATGACTCATGACAGAATATTCCAGACACAGATAGATGGTTTGCGTGTCATCCCAAGCAGACGGAGGCACACCTGCTCCTTCCCCAAAAAAGATTGCAAATACCCTGGGCAAGTCCCTTAACTTCTGTGCCTCAGTTTCCTCTTCAAGTAAATTAAGGGGGCTAGAATCTGAAGTGTTGTCCAGCTCCAGATTCCAGGTGAACATTTGGAGGCAAGCATGACATCTGGTTACCCTCTTTACAAGATGGGACAGAGAGAAGGGCCTTGGCACAGTCTCACCTCAATGGTGAGTGCCTTACCCTGTCCAATAAATGCTTCTTCAAGAAGATCCCTATGATCCTATGATGCTCCTTTTCGTTACATCTGGATACCATAATCCTATAGCCCATAGCTCCTTGATCTTCCTTTTCCATGTTTTCAGGCTGTAACACTGATGTGCACTATTACTAATTCTCATCTTCCTATGTGAAAATAGAGACGATAACACCATATAGCCTTGCACAGATTCTACAAACGTCATACAAGAGAAGGTGTTAGAGTGACAGAAAGGTCTAACAAAATTGGCCGTTGTTTAAATGCAAGGAAATCGTTAGCGACTCCTATAGCCAAGGGTACTGTGAAGGTAAGGAAGAGAATGCTTTCACCCGGATGCCCTCAGTCGTTAGGCCTGTGGTCAAAGACCAGAAAAGCCGAACTGGACACTGCACCACTGCAAATGACTCAGATCAGCTTTATGTTTGGAGAAGGGGAAGAGGGGAGAAAGCTGTGCAGATGCTGACAAAGAAAAGCGGAGAATGGGCAGCCAGCTGATGGGGAAATTAAGTTGGCAGTCTCAATCCTAAGAAAAAGTTAGGCCCGAGTCAGATGTCAAAAAGGAAAGAAGTGGCCCCTAGCTCGATCAGAAGACACCTACCTAAGACTGCACAGGTCATCTCAGCGAACAGTTATCTTGTCACCGTCTTAACTTTAGCTTCTGTGAATGAATGTGAACACAAAGATCCTTATGGAAAGGGTGATCCAAATTCCACGGTCATTAGTGTCAAACTCAAAAAGAAATGAGGGCAACTAAGTCAGATGTAAGGATCCCTGTGGGTTGCACACAAACTTGGTTTTAAAATATATTATCCATGTTTTATTGTATTTTTATCTGCTTTGTCAAATCTTTCCCAATTACATTTTAATCCAGTGTAGGCAGCACTTAGGCATGCTATGGGCCACCTGTGGGCTGCTTGTTTTTACACCTTTAGATAACTAGAAGAATGCTCAGTTGGTTTGGGGGCAAACGCTGGCCTGCAGGACAGGCCCAAGTTCTTATGTTTCACGGTTTCTACAAATATAGCAATGTACTGTCCTTCCTGTACAAAGATCATGCCACGGAGCAGGACCCATGGACTACTTGCAACATTTTAATACTTTACTTGATCAAACATTTTGGTCATTTAATCCCCGATCTTACTAAAGGGACCAGGAGCATCAGGTAGCCGCTGAGAAACAAACAGTACGCGTGGAGGCAGATATCAGTTTGATACAAGCGAAAACTTCCTAGTAATTAAAGTTTTCTAAAACTGAAATGGACTGTTTTGAGGAACACCCACAGGCGGATGTTGGCAGGATTAGAAATCATGTCTTACAAGGAACTGAGGGCATTTGGGCTGGAGAAGAGAATACTTTCTAAGGGATAATGCGGTATTATCTTCCAGAAGAGCTGCCCGTCTGGGAAAGAGAAGGATTAAAATTGTTCTGCCTGGGCCCCAAGGCATGAAAACTCATCACTGAACTCCATCTACCCCAACCCTGACTCCAAAAGGAAAGAAAACCAATCTTGTGCAAGACCTGCCATGGAAACACTGAGGTTAGACTGGATAGTCACCCACTTAGTCACCTGCCCCATTATTGTGACAGTTTCCATATCTGCTGGGTGAGGGCAATGATATCTTCGAACCAGTAACCATAGAAAGTTTATTGAGCTGAACCTATCTTGAGGAACTCTCATGGGAACGTGACTTTTGGGACTAGGGTAAGAAATCTCTCTGAATCAGCTAAACAACACTAGAGTAGTTTGGGGGTATTTTTAACAGGAAAAACAAAATCAAATCAAGACAATAATAATAGGTAAACGATAGATTATAATAGGTATACACCAGGACCAAAAATTACCAGACACTTGGCCAAAGGGGAACAATGAATCAGGTTGAAATTTGGAAATGAAAATTGGAGTCTGATTCAAGTTGAATTTCTCTTCATTGGCCATCTCTGCCATCACTGATAACAGTCTTGGGATAAAGGCAACTACTGAGGCAGGAACTAGTACTGGACTGAATCAGATATGCAGCTCTCAAAAGAGTGAATGTGATCCTCTAAGGCTAGCCTGGAAGTGATCCAGTCTTCCCAGAGTTCTAGAGATGACCCAGAGAAAGGTAGGAATTGAAATGAAGCTATTTTACCCAAATCAAATCAACCTCAGGAATACGAGAAGTTAAGCAGCCATGTAACTAGCTTTGTTAACATTTCAAGTCAAGGGTTTAGGCCTGGATCAGATACCAATTTGGAACTAAATAAATAATATGACATTGTAAAAACAGAATGGTCTTTCAACAGAGGCAAGGGATTCAAGGTGGGGATATGGAAGGGAGCCTCAGAAAGAAGACTGGCAGAACACTGAGAACTAGTAAGACAAGTCAGATGAGAAAGGAGTAAGAAGAGCAAGTGAAGGATACATTTTGTTTTCAGTTTCATTTTGGGGTACCTTTATGAGGTGGAACCTTGGGATTTAACTGGGCACTGAGCTTAGCAGCAACTCTCCATTACTTCATGGGGGGGAGTACTTCTGCAAAGGAATTATCTAATAACATCTTGACCCTAAACAACAAGCAAGCATTTACTAAGTGCCTACAACGTGCCCAGCACTGTGCTATGTGCTGAAGATACAAACACAAAAGTCATAGAGTCCCTGACCTCTTGAGCTTACCGTGTAACCAAACTGGGAAACCACCTAGTTAGCTCTCATCTCGAGCAGAAGGGCAGTTCTGAGAGGGGCTCCTATCCAAATTCCCCTGACAACAGTCGTATTAGGAACCCAACCCATTATCATCCCCTCCTCTCCATTAAAATCCCACCAAGATCCAATTCAGCTCCTACTAACTCCATAAAGCCTCTCGAGTCAGTTCTTTCCTTTCTCTGAAGTCTTATAAAAATTCACAATTCATGTGTCAAGTAATGGCCTGCCCCATAACTTCACCTTGTTACTCAAAGCTTCTGTTTCAATACTGCTAATGTTAGCTGAAGTTTCTATGGCATGTCAAGGTTTGGCAAACACTTAAACCACATTACCTTAATTTCATCCTCACAACAACCCCCCATAGCTGGAGCAAGTATTGCTTTCATTTTACAGATGGAGTAGCTAAGTAAGTAAGGCTCAGCCGGAAAGGCAGTACCTCGCCTGTCCACTTCATCCAATGCTCTTTCCTTTCCGCCACAGTCTCCTTCTAGATTCAGAGATACGGTCCAGCGTCATATTTCATCAATCAGTTACTAGTGATAGAACTATATAGGTGGCACACAGATTAATGCCAGGACGTGGCCTCTCTCATGCTCTGGTGGTTTGGTTATGTGAGCCCTCTACTCAGGCAGGCACAAGAAGCCTGGACCAAAGATAGTATCACTGTCTCTTGCCCTTAGCTGCTGCTGTCTACTCAGAGATGTCTTTTACAACCCTCCCCAAACCTGCTTCCACACCCAGATGCAACCTTACGGAAAGGGGCTTTGGCCTCGGAACTTTTTACATTTATGTTCTGCCTTCCAACTGCGCCTCCCCCCTAAAGCAAGGACCTCGTCTTCTTCTTTGTCTCTACCTTGCCTAGTACAGTGCCTTGTACATTGGGAGATCGACGTGACTTGTAATTCCAGTACTCTATGGATGAGAAAACTCCTTCCACCAACTGATCTGCAACTTAACAGTCTTAAGAGCTGCCTCAAGCACTGTGACCTTCAGTGATTTGCCCAGGGCTACAATGCCAGTGGGATTTGAACTCAGGCCTTTTTGGCTCCAAGGGCAGCTCTCTCTCTTACCTCGTGTATAATGGATAATAGATGTTTGCCGATCAATAAAGCAAGATCCAATAACCTGCAACATTACTTCTTATTTCTTAATTTTTTTGTTTTTTTACTGCAGAGGCTAAAAAAACACCATCATAATAAAAAATGTTACTATTTTATTATCTAAAGGAGGTAATACATAGCCCAATAAGCAAAAGCAACAGGATATGAGAAGTGGAAAATGGCCAGAGTTTGACAGCAGAAATTACTAATTCTGCATTTCTGAGCCACCCCACCATGGTCCATCGCTGCTTGGGCAAAGTCCAGGTCAGTAATGATGAGTACCACTTTAACTGCAGCAGCAAATGGGTTTCAAGTCAGGAGAGAGCCTTGAATGAGGTGACTAAGCAGAGATCCTCAGTATGGACAGGCATCAGAGGCTGTGATCGGCCATAACCCTCCCCTCAGCATGAGCTCTCTCTCCATGACAAGTTTTACTCATTTAACTGCCTATGTAAAAGCTGCTCCGTCCTGAGGCTTACCCTCATTTCTGCGACCCGACAACAGGCAGGACATTCAAGAATCCCGGGTCAGTGTTTAAAGTGAAAGCCTTAGTAGTGTTAACAGAGGGGGGGGATGTCCTTGGATCTTCTTGAGGAGGACGGAGATGGAAGGGATGGGAGGCAGAGGGTGACGATGCACTGAATGGTCAAGGCTCCAGCTACCTCACCCTCATGCAAGTACTCCCTCACAGATGCAAAGTTGTTTGAAAGGTACATGATGGAGGGGGATGGGGGGGACACAGGGATTTCCTTCCTCTTGCTGTGCAGATTTAAGCTGAAGGCTCATTTCCCACACTTCACTGGTCTCCCAGGTCTAGTATATAGCACCCAAGGATGAATAAAGTCCTATCAGTGCAACTGTGGCCTCTGAGAGGAACTGAAATCCTCCAGTCTCCAATGCTAGAAAAGAAGGATTCAGTCTCTACTAGCCACAGGGAAAACTACATAGAACTTCCCACCACATCTACCTTCCCTTGAGATGTAGGGCAGCAGGTGGGAGCAATTACAGAAATGCACTGGGGCTTAGATATTGATTGGATCCCTATCAAGGTCCTTTGGGACCTTAAAAGGACCTTTAGTGATCGCATGGCTTCAGATGGGCTTATTTGCTACTCCTGGAAGGGCACGTCTCCTCGCAAATTTACAGTGGAGTGCAAGCAGAAACAGCAGCAATTGATGCTAAAATACTCATATACATTATTAGTTTAAATACAATTGTCCGGCTTGGAAAGCTAACAGGAAGGTGGCCACTTCCTTCTCGGCATGCAGCGCTCCCCAAGCACACCATAACTAGGCCAAAGCTGATTAGTGATTTCACATGGGCCGATCAGTTTTTGGTCTGGCTGGCCTCCCAGGCATAAAAAGAACAATGACAAAACACAGTGTTCTCCAAACCTGGGACCGCACTCGTGCACGTGCACAGCGCGTGTGTGTATGTGTGTGTGTGTGTACATATGCATGAATGTACACACGCACACACACACACACACACACACACCCATCTGTGTATTTAAGAAAGGGGGAAAATACAGCTCCATGGTAGCTGAGGCTTTGTACAGCACTGTGTACACCATGGATATGCCGTGCACTGGGAAAGCGGATATCCAAGTGGCGGTTGGAAGAGACACAGGGCCTTTTAGTCAGTGGCAGCAGAAGTTGCTGCTGCCTCCTCCTCCACACACGGGATGGGCTTCTGCAGGAAATACATGACGGCCTGGACCACCTTGTCTGGTGCAATGTTGTACACAGGGTGAGTAGGCTGCTGCAAAACGAAGGACAGACAAATATACAATTAGTACTTCCTTTTGTAGGGATTCCAGTCCATGTTAATATTCTTCTATTCTCTCCCTCTGTGATAAAAGCTGAAACCTTGGGTCTGGAGCAGGGTGTCATCCTAGGTAAGTTTTCTCCAAGTAGCAGCCTACCACTACCGCTCAGGAGCCCCACCCAAGTCTTCATCCTGAATGTACCACTCTAGACCTCAGTTTCTTCATCTGCAAAATAAGGAGTTTGGATCAGATGGCTTCTATGGTCCCTACCAGCAGTAAATCTATGTTGCTGTAAGCTTATGTTCCCAACTCCACGAATGCATTTACCTTCACTCTGGCCAATATAAGCAACTGAAGTCAATAAGAATGAGTAATTAAAAAGGCATCAATTTTTAAAAGTATAATGGCAATATTAAAAAGAGTAATGGAATTCTAAACTTGAAAACCACTTAAAGGAAGGAAATCTTTCTAGGAATATGCCACTTATACAGATTTAATGCAAATCTGTAAAGACTCTGTAATTTTATATGTTTGAATTTTACCACTGGGGAAACCTTGAGTCTGCTAAGGTTCTTTGAGGGTACCAGGCAAAGACTGACTCACTGCTTTGATGTAACTGCCGTCAACCTGATTATTCTAAGTCTCCTGCATATCTGCACACTGATCTAACAACCAACTACGACTTTCTGATTCTAAAAGAAAAAGAAATAAGAGGAAGGAGGCATCTACACACTGGAACATAAACCAGCTAGGGCAGCAAGGTGGTGCAGCGGATAGAGCTCCTGCCTTGGAATCTGGAGGACCTGAGTTCAAATGTGGCCTCAGACACATGACACTTACTAGCTGTGTGACCCTGGGCAAGTCACTCAATCCGATTGCCTCATCAAAAAGCAAAAAAAAAAAAAAAAGGAAAAAAAAGAAAAGAAAAAGAAAATAAACCAGCAGATACCAAAGGCCATGGTGTGTGCTAGAACCATGGCCTTCCCCAGACTGGCTCTTTTAGACATTCAAAACAGGGAGATGGTTAGCTATGGTCTTCATTGAATCACCATCTAAATAAATCACCCCACATAAATAAGGGAAGAGGGAAGAGGCTTGGGTTTTGTGGGCTCCTTCCATAGTAAAGAAAATGCAATAGTCAGCTCTAGAAATTAAAAGTAGCTACTCTATTCTGAGCAACATTGGATTAAGCTTTCAGGGAAAGCTCTAGGTTAGAGCCCAGGCCAAGTGCAATGGTGACTCAAAGAACACAGTGGTTTTAAAGCTGTGGTGTCAGAGGCCTCCCTCACATCTTACCAAGCGATTTTCTGGCACTCCCAAGACCACATCACATAGAATCTCTCCACTGCCAAAGTGCTGTGCTATGGATAAGCCACTCAGGCAATAGCAGGTGTGATAGAAGTCCCTTGACCTGGAGGGGAAAAAACACTGTTGAGGAGAACTCCCTAGTACAGAAAAAGCCCAACAACGCAAGGTTATATTTGGCATCTTTCTTTGGATCAAACAGTTGCCTAAAGACTCCAAGTTCAAGAGTATGGACAAATCAAATACATTGAATATGACAACAAATGCAAAGGAATCCATGTAGTTACAGAAAATGCAATTTTCCCAAGCAGTCTGAAGGAAATCCTTTCATTTTGAATCCGTATCTGCTGAGCAGATATGGATTCCATCTCCATTCAGTGGGGCAATGTGACAATTATTTATTCCAAATATCTCCCAGAAAAGGCTGTGAAGAAAAACTCTTCAGGAATAGACTCAACATCAGAATAATCAATTTCCTCTCAAATTAAAAACACCTCTAGAAACTGGCAAAGTCCTTTCTGACAACCTGCCAAGTACCATGAGTCTTGAGGTGGGCGTTCCCTTGAGTGCCTAATTATCGGCAGCAAGCTGGCTAAGGGAGAAGGCAGGGAAGTAGTAGTTTGTTTGGTTTCCAGGTTGTTGTTGTTGTTTTTAATTATAGCTTATAAAGGCATATTTGTTTTCCATCATTTAATCAACTCTGTAATTAGCTGTTGTGATTACAATCTCTGTCAGGTACAATTATGGACTTTTAAATCTTTTAAGTCAGCCTAATATTTAAGAAAAGAAAAGCCCCTATCAAGCCTGTTTGCCTACTACTGCTTCAGATTCCTGCAAACTAGTGGTGTGATGGCGTATATACATTGAGGTATGTGTTTGGGGAGAAGACTAGAAGCCAACAGCGGTATCTGGACCAGGGGCACGTAGAGAAGGGAAGGGCCCGAACTGAGATTCTCTCCCTTTAAAGCACTAGCAATATGAACTCAAGGGAGAACCAGAGGGAACTAGGCCCCATCTACCCATCACAGGAAGTCATCTCATTGTATATGGATGACTTCTGATTTTCCATCTTCCTCCTCTCAAAATAGGACTTACTTGCCAGGCTTATCCAGAAGCCCCCCTGCAGGGCACTGGCAGCATAGGAGAATATATTCCTGCAAGGCCTGCTGGTGAAACATCCAGTGACTCATACTAAGGGCAGGATCGCCTGTGGAAAGGGGAAAGAAAGCCTACATTAAATCAGACAAAATGACTCCATCAATTACAATTGTTTGAGCTAACCTCAAAAATGAGGCACTGAGGAGGCATGACTGCTTTCCTCTCCAGCCCACTCCAGATCTCCTCTGGAATCCTAAATGGCCCAATCAGGGTCCACTGTCGGGCCGGCACACTCATGTCATCACTGTCACAGCATCAAACCTGGTAAGTAACCCCACAGCCCAGTTCCTTCCAGGCAGTAGATCAGTTGCTTGGTTCAATTCTTCCAATGTTAATTCTCCTCCCTTACTTAATCCTGTTTTTATACCTGGGGCTGGTTCAGGATCTTTCATCCTTTCCCTTTTAAGAAATTTCCTTTTGTGCTTCTGTGCCTAAATAAATGATACTGGTTCCATCCACTGGGCTCTAACCAGCTAAGAGAACTCTAAGCAGGAAGCAATGTAATTTTTGTCTGTCATCCACTTCCTAATAAAGCCTTAATTTAAAAAAACTTTTTTTTTCCCTAAAAGAACTAGATTTTTTTTTTCCATTTTGGGCTTTACTTAGTTCCCAATGCAGGTAGGTTTTTCAAAAATAGACAGGGTTTTAATAAAACACAAATTCATGTCAAAGTATTTGGTGCTAAGGATTTTCTCCACTGAAGAACGCTAATGGTCCTGTGGTATTTTTTTTTTTAATTTTTAGTTAAATTTTTTTTCAATCAGCAAAAATCCACCTTTTCTCCTTCACAATGCTCCCCAATTGAGCAATGAAAACAAAGTCTCTTTTACAAACATGTGCAGTCAAACAAAACAAATTTTCACACTGGCCATGTCAAAAAAACATGTCTTATTCTACACTCTGATTCCTTTAGCTCTGTATCGGGAAGTGGGCAGAATGTTTCATTATGTTATTGTTCTATAAGAAATGATGAGCAGACAGATTACAGAAAAATATTGAATGACTTACATGAATTGATGCTGAGTGAAGTGAGCAGAACTAGGAGAACATTACACACGGTGATCAGAGCTCTCAAGTCTTTCATAGTTATCTGCCTTTATAATATTAACATTCAGTGATCCAAAACAATTCCAGAGGACCCATAATGAAAAATGCTATCCATCTCCAGAGAGACAATTGATGAACTCAGTGCAGACTGAAGCATACTTTTATTTTTTACTTTTTCTTGCCTCTATGTGTGTTTTCTTTAGCAACATGGAATATGGAAATATGTTTTGCATGACTTCATGTGTATAATCGATCAGATTGCCTGCCTTCTCAACAGGTGGGGTAAGGGAGGGAGAGAATTTGGAACTCAAAATTTTTAAAACTGGGGGCAGCTAGGTGGTACTGTGGATAGGGCGCTGGCCCTGGAGTCAGGAGGACCTGAGTTCAAATGTGGCCCTCTGACACTTGACACTAGCTGTGTGACTCTGAGCAAATCACTTAACCCCACTGCCTAGCCCCACCCCCCAAAATTTTTTTAAATGAATGTTAAAACTTTTTTGTACACAACTGGGAAATATTTAATGAAAGAAAAATGTATTTAAAGAGAAAATAAGTGAAAAGGCAACATTACTGTCATTGTATAAATTGTTCACTTAGTTCTACTCACTTTACTCTGCATCAGCTCACGTGAGTCTTCACAGGTTTCTCTGAAATCATCACCTTCATTATTTCTTATAGCACAACAGTATTCCATCACATTAATATATTGTGATTTATTCTGCCATTCCCCAATTGATGGACACCTCTTTAGTTTCCAACTCTTTGTCACCAGAAGAACTATAAATATCTTTGTATATCCTTGGAGTTTGTTTTGTTTATAACTAATTCCTCCTTTATCTGCCCTCCATCTTAATTCTCCCTTCTCCTTTCTCTTCTTTCCTCCTATTTCCCCGCTGAGTAAAATGTATTTCTCTACTAAACTGTGTATATGTGTGCCTTCTCCCTCCCTTTGACCAATTCAGATGAGAGTGAAGTCCATTTTTTGTGTGATTCCCCTTCCCCCTCCCTTCTTGTTTTTTTTAATATATAAATTTATTTTTAGTTTTCAACATTTTCTTCCACAAGATTTTGAATTCCATATTTTTACCCCATCTTGCCACTCCCCCCACCCCAAGATGGCATGCATTCTGAATACCCCTTCCCCTAGTCTGCCTCCCTTCTATCTCCCCCCCCCACTTCCCTTATCCCCTTCCCCTTCTATTTTCTTGTAGGGTGGGATAGATTTCTGTACCTCATTTCCTGTATTTCTTATTTCCCAGTTGCATATGAAAACATTTTTTTTAAACATGTGTTTTTAAAACGTTGGGTTCCAAATTTTCTCCCTTCCTCCCACCCCAACCACCCTCATTGAAAAGGCAAGCAAGTCAATCCAGGCCATACATGTGTAGTTATGCAAAACACTTCCATAGTAGACATGTTGTGAAAAGCTAACTCTATTTCCCTTAATCCTATCCTGCCCTCCTATTTATTCTATTCTTTCTTTTGACCCTGTCCCTCCTCAGAAGTGCTTCCCTCTGATTACCCCTTTCCCAATCACCCTCCTCTCTATCATCCCCCTGCTCTCTTGTCCTCTTCCTCCCCTATTTTCCTGTAGGGTAAGACAGATTTCCATACCCAATTGAGTGTGTATGTTATTCCCTCCTTAAGCCAAATCCTATGAGAATAAGATTCCCTCATTTCCTCTCACCTTCTGTTTCCCCTCCACTGTAAGAACCTTTTCTTGTCTGTTTTGTGCAAGATAATGTACCCCATTCTACCTCTCCCTTTCTCCTTCTCCTAGTATAATCCCTCTCACCCCTTAATTTTATTCTCCAGATATCACCCCTTCATCTTCAACTCACCCTGTGCCCTCTATCTATCTATCTATCTATCTATCTATCCATATAATTTTTCCCCTCCCACTACCCTAATACTGACAAAGGTCTCATGAGTTATAAATATCATCTTTCCATGCAGGAATGTAAACAGTTCAGCCTTAATAAGTCTCTTATGATTTCTCTTTCCTGTTTACCTCTTCATGTTCCACTTGAGTCTTGTATTTGAAAGTCAAATTTTCTATTCAGCTCTGGTCTTTTCATCAAGAATGCTTGAAAGTCCTCTATTTCACTGAATGACCATTTTTTCCCCTGAAGGATTATACTCAGTTTTGCTGGGTAGGTGATTCTTGGTTGTAATCCTATCTCCTTTGCCCTCCGGAATATTATATTCCATGCCCTCTGGTCCCTTAATGTAGAAGCTGCTAAATCTTGTGTTATCCTGATTGTGTTTCCACCATACTTGAATTGTTTCTTTCTGGCTGCTTGCAATATTTTCTCCTAACCCTAACCCTAACTCTGGAATTTGGCTACAATATTCCTAGGAGTTTTCCTTTGGGGATCTCTTTCAGGGGGAGATCAGTGGATTCTTTCAATTTCTATTTTGCCCTCTGGTTCTACTATATCAGGGCAGTTTTCCTTGATAATTTCTTGAAAGATGATGTCTAGGCTCTTTTTTTGATCATGGCTTTCAGATAGTCCAATAATTTTTAAATTCTCTCTCCTGGATCTATTTTCCAGGTCAGTTATTTTTTCCAATGAGATATTTCACATTGTTTTCTACTTTTTCATTCTTTTGGATTTGTTCTACTGTGTTGCGACTTCTCATAAAGTCACTATCTTCCAATTGCTCTATTCTAATTTTTAAGGAAGTATTTTCTTCAGTAAGCTTTTGGACTTCCTTTTCCATTTGGCCAATTTTGCTTTTAGGGCATTCTTCTCCTCATTGGCTTTTTGGACCTCTTTTGCCATTTGGGTTAGGCTATTTTTTAAGGTGTTATTTTCTTCAGTATTTTTTTGGGTCTCCTTTAGCAAGCTGTTGACTTGTTTTTCATGATTTTCTTGCATCACTTTCATTTCTCTTCCCAGTTTTTCCTCTACTTCTCTTACTTGCTTCTCAAAATCCCTTTTGAGCTCTTCCAAGGCCTGGGACTGATTCATATTTTTCTTGGAGGCTTTGGATGTGGGAGCTTTGACTTTGTTGTCTTCTTCTGGTTGTATGTTTTGATCTTCTTTGTCACCAAAGTAAGATAATATAGTCTGACTCTTTTTGCGAGGTTTGCTCATGATCCCAGCCAATTACTTGAGTTTTAAACTCTTTGTTAAGGTCAAAGTCTGCTTCCAGTGTGGAGACTGTACTGTCCCAAGCTTTGGGGGTTTGTATAGCTGTTTTCAGAGATACTTCTAGGGACCTGTTAAATTTTCAGTTCTTCCAAGGTGGTATGATAAGGGTTGAGGTGTTTACTCTTTTCCTGGCCTGAGCTCTGGTCTTTGAGTGACTGGCCACAAGCAGTCTTTTCTGTCTTGGAACTATGAGGAAGATTTCCTCTCCACAGCCACTACAAGCTCCACCGCGCCAGTGCTCCTCCTCACCCCAGGACCGCCACCCAGAACTGTGACCCAGATCTAAGCACGGGCAAAGCAAGAGATTCCTGCCTCAGCACCAGCAAAGAGATCCCTGCAGTCCCCCTCTGATCAGCCACTTGATTCCCCTTTAGTCTGTGGGCCAGAAGCTCAGGAGGCAGCCACCGCCCCTGCATCCGCCCTGTATGCTCCACGCTCTGGAACTTGTTCTGACCTAGCTCTTGTCTCACCGCAAAAACAGACTTTTCCCACTGACCTTCTAAGTTGTCTTTGGCATTCATGGATTGAGGAGTCTGGAAGCCACCACAGCTGCCTGTGATTCAGTCCTCTGAGGCCTGCTCTAGGTTCGCTGCGGCCTGCACGCCCACGCCAAACTGCATTCCTCTCCCCACCTGGCCCAATACGCCTTCCCGATCAACCATCCAGGATGTCTTGGGCTGGAAATTTGTTTTACTCTATCTTTTTGTGGGTTCTGCTGCTTTAGAATTTGTTTAGAGCCATTTTTTTGTGGGTATTTGGAGGTGTTTGGGGAGAGCTCAAGCAAGTCACTGCTTTCACGCTGCCATCTTGGCTCCGCCCCTCTTCTTGTTTACATAGATTTCTGCATGTGTACTCTGATTATATGAAATAAATTTCCTTAATTTTTCTCTCCCTTTTACCTCTAGTGTATTCTTCTTCCTTTCCCTTTTCATTCTTCTTCAAGATCATCAAGACATAAAAAGAACCTCTGCTAGGCTTTCATTTCCCCATATGAGAATGCAAGCAATTTATCCTTGTTTTAGTCCCTTATGATTTTTATGTTTCATGTTTAGCTTTTTG